TCGAAAAAATCAGCTTACGTAGGCAGTGAATACTATATATACACATTATATATATAGGTGAGCCAGGAACGAACGAACAAACGAACGATCGTTGTTGCGCGACTTTGCGCGATGCCAGTATAAAAAAAAACAAGGCTGCGCGCGCACGTGTCCTAATCTCCTGTACAGATATATATACAAATGCAATTATATTAAAGCCGGTATATATGCTGCCGGCGCAAACATCATTTGTACATAAGTCGTGCGCTCGGCATATCAGTTTACTGAAGGGGGTTAGCGAGCGGCGAGTGGGGCGGAGGGTTAGAAAACTGGCGGCAGATCGGCGAGGGTTTTGAATGTGCTTGTTGTGCACGAGGTATAACAGCACGCAGCCGCCCGCATTGACCAACCGGAGACGAGACTCGACTGTCGATAAGCACCGCCGCACACCGCAACATCCATACATATGTGTATCATTTACCAGCTACGTGTATGATATTCGTGTGCTTACACGTGCCTCTTACATGTGAGCTTTAGGTTATGTATGTGGGCAACATAACCTACACGTGAAAGCGTTGGCTGGGGCTGTGCCCCCCAGGCTTTAGCATCGATTTCCAGTTGAGCGAGTCAGCCAGCAGCATGCTGCAGCAAAGGCAAGCTGGCACATATAGGAGCGATCGAGCGACCGACCGAGCCCAGGGAGGGAGAGCGAGTAGGACGGAGAAATACCTATAGGTATAGAGTTGGTACACTAGTTAGCGAGCGAGGCACGCGGGGAAACCTGAGAGAGAGAAAGAGCGTTCGAGGGAGCGAACACACTCGGCGGGCTCTGGAGAGAAGAAAATCGTGTGCTTCATCGTCTCCTCTCAAGGCCTGCCTGGCTGCCTGCGCCCCTCGTCCAGAACGGGGGCGAACGAGGCGTGCCTCGACAGCATCACGTATACACTATACAGCCTCCAGAGAGTTATAAAAGAAGGGAGCAGCAGCAGCAGCAGCGCTTTTGCTTCACTCTGTTCTATTCTGTGCTCTTTGTAAAGAGAGAGAAGGAGCGCACCAGAATTCCAGCGTGCGAATCCAACGCGTGTGTGACATGGTATAAAAGGCGCAATCGCCCATCGGCGCCGTAGGGGCGGAAATATCAGGCGCGGCGAAGTCGCGCTTAAACCAGAGGGGAGGATAATGCCGGGAGCGGCCGCTGTTTGTGCATGCATTTTAAACGTGCGCAGAGCGAAGCCCTAACCTCAATTAACTTTGGGTTTTTACTAAATGGACTCCAACCGCTTACCCTTGAAAACTTTGCTTTCAACTAGTTTTTTTTTGTGACTTTCATTTTGTCACAATATTACGTAGGTTCTCCCCACTGGTGTCACGAAACCTTCTTCCTTAAATAATCTCACGACATTGCATCGATATTTCGTACTATTTAAAAATAATTTATTCTACAGCCTTAATTTTCCCTGTATTTTCGGTTTAACTGCTAATATTCAAATAAGGGTGAACTTATGCAGAGCACAACACATACCCAGGGGGCGAAGTCAAGTTTTTTCCATGTAGTTGAAAAAAGTACTTAAACTTTCGGGAAAGGTATGATTAAGTCGAGGAATATTTTATTTTCTTTCACCTTATTATACGTTGAAAGTTAAGTACTTATTCGTGTTCTGTTATATATTACAATATCGAGCTTTTTCGAAGAAAAGAACCAAACCCCACCGCGGTAGCGCACCGTAGACAAGCATCTAGCGCATGCGTGCTTGAGAGTCACTTGTCAACTCGGTTCTTGAATGTTTGCAAAAAAAAAACCTACACGATACGTTGTATAATAATTCAAAAAATATGTTCGTCGTTCATCATTACCGTCAAGTCGTTCCGCAGTTCCATATGTATCCTTGCTCAAGTCAGTTAAGCCAACATATATTATGCGCTTTACCTACAATAACTGCTTGAGGTGTACATGCACGCGGTGTACACATGCGGCCAGCGCTCGGTATAGAGCTGGGTGTAAAATCGACTTTCCGCCGCTGTTGCTGCTTGGCACAGCGCTCATATAACACGCCGCAGACCTCGGACTCCGCGTTCCCATTTTCGCTCGGCTCTCCTCGTCTCCCTCGCTCTCCACTCTCCTTCTCGGCTTTCGAGCTTCGTCATCCTCGCTCAGCGAACGAGCGCGCGTTCTCTTCTATACTTGTGCGCGGTCTGGCTGCAGAGCCCCGACAGCCGTATAATAACGCGCACAGAGCATGGATAAATTTAGAAAAAGCGCTCGTCTTGTCCCTCACTTTTTTTCTCGTTAAACAACGAAATGAACCGTCCCTTTTTTTTTTTTTGAACTTTCGAACGTCACGTTGGATCTTCAAAATATGTTGAATTTTATCACAAAATAATATTGTTGGAAACAGAGCGTGAGCACAAAATATATTTCAGTCTTATACAACAGAAAATCATTATGAACAAAGAACAAACGTATACATGTATATGCGTTCGGGGCACGAGTTGGCCATAACCTAAAAGAACATAATGCGTCAGGGAGTGATCGCTCACTCTTTTGAGGGAGGCAAAAGCGCGGATTGCGTGCTCGCACGCGTGCATGTGCTCGGCCAAAGAGACACGAGAGTTAAAGTGACAGCTCCAACGGTCGAAATTTTCGTACATAATGCAAACGCTGCGCGCCACTGCAACAAGGACGGGGAGAGTTGCGCAGCAGGCGAGCGAAACACACATCGATGGATCCCGAGAGAACGCGCCAGCGGCGTTTTAAGCTGCCGTCTCCACTATTTTCTCTCTTTTATTTCTACTGCACATATGTGCCCGAACGACTCTTCCTCCCTCCGTTCATGAGATTGTGTTCTTTCTAACTCAGCGCCTTTATTAAATGTAAACAAGATGCTTGCACGCCGCATTTTAGCGCTGTCATCCATAGGGGCGATTCGAACGATAGCGATAAAAACGTTAATGACACATAAAAGTACATGGATGGTTTTTATTTTGTTAGCTTGAAATGTTATTTTTACGGCCTCTTGATAAATAATCAAACCTTTACGATTTCCCAAATTCATTCTCACCCTCATTTTGTTTATAACTTAAACGATGCAGCTTAACGTAGAGTTGAAAAAAAAATTATTTTTCAATCGTGATATTGAAAATTACTTTTACATCGCTTGCATAAATTAAAAAAAAATAAACGATTTTACCATGAGCAAGACAAGTTCGAAAAAAAAACAAGCTACAAGGTAAGTACAATCGAGCCAAGGAAAATCGAAATTAATCTCAAATCGGTGGAGAAGCGCCACACTCTTTGGGCACAAGGGAACCGATCGAGAGTTTTGAGCGCTGCAAGAGAGCCGTACTAGCGTTACGGTGGGCGGTGCGAGAGGGGGACACATATATAGGGTCGGTCGGTCGACTATGGGCGGAAGAGGGGAAAGACCATCCGCTGCAGGGGCGATCGGTACACCTACACACATACACAGCCCAGCCAAGAAGGGGCGAGGAAAAGACGGAGAGCGAATAAAGCTTCATCAGGCGACAAGAGCGAGAGGGCAACAAACCAATGGCGCCATCTATCGGACCGATCCCCACCCGGCGTTTTCGGAGCCTCGTGCCTTCTCGCTCTCTCGTCACACACTATGCCACATAGATGTGCTGCGCTGGCTCTATACGGCTCCTCGGTATATATACGTGCCCCGAGCCAACCAACGAACGAACAAGCGAGCGCTAACACATCAGCAGGGGCAAGCGAAAGAGAAGTGTGGATAGTATAGCCAGCAACGGCACCACAGAGCGCTGGCAGTCCTAAGCAAGAAGTTCGTCCGTGCTGTGCGCGGCATCGATACATTTTTATTTAATATCGAGTTAGTGTGCGAAAAATATCAACCATTGAAATTTTGTTTGTACATAGAAAATTAAAGGACGGACACGACATCGGTGGCATTCGATCTACGTTATTGTCCCGAGTGATATTATGTCTCACACGCGAGATAATTCGTAGAATCACTGCAGCGACGGGAAAAAATAAAAAAAAAAATAATAATAATCGTGGAGCGACAGCGGCAACGTCAGTTTCTCACGGTACAATAAGTATACGGGGGTGGAGCGCAGTGAGAGAAAGACACACACACAGATACACAAGGTTCTCCGTCCCCCCTTCTTCTTGTTTCCTTTGTTGTTTGTTTTTCGCCCGAATCAGCCGGTACAAACTTTTCCGACACGGCTTGTTCGTATGTTTACAACAAACGTACGAGGATAATCAACTGCAGGACGTGAAAAATTGTCGCGGCAAAGCGCGGGCAAACAGCTTTTCTCGGGCGTTTTTTTTGAAAATAATACACAATAAGGGGGAGTCTGCTGCCGCAGCAGCGGTGCAGCCGAGGAGTGTGTGCGGCTGCTCTCCTCGCGCGTGTGTGTCCAGAGAGAGGATAGAGAGCCGATACATATACCACCCCCCCGCGCAACCCGCCACGCCGCATTATATTCACGGATTCGCGAGAGCAGTGAGAGAGAAAGAGAGACACTACATTAGAGAGAAGAGGAATTTCTCGCGTGGTTATATAGTCGGCAACGTATATTCGAAGAAGTGTGCGAGTGTGTGTGTGTGTGTGTATGCATACGTGTTTATATGCAAGTGTGCGGAAGAGATATATTATAACGTTGTACGAAGACACATCATCGACAGTCCGTGGAAGGTTCAAAGCAGCGGAGGGGAAAAAGAGTCTCGCGCACTGAAAGAGCGAGAGAGAGAGAGAGAAAAAGAGCTCGAGCGTAGCCACCTGGCGGCTATCCTCGGCTACTACCAGCGTTTCGGAGCCAAAGAGTAGTCGTCGTTGTGTGTTGTATATAACGCAGCCGGGAACCGTACCGTGTATTTTCAGGCCGGTGTTGAACGGCTCAACTCCGTAGTTTCTCAATTACACACACACACACAGCATTGGCACATATGTCGATGTGAAACACGACACGCGTGCTCTTTTGTAACGGACGTTTGTGTGATTTGAAAAAAAAAAAAATTAAAATAAAATAAAAAAAATCATACCCATAAAAAGGGACGCAATGGCTTCCGTGAAAGACACGGCGACTTTCTTCGCCGAGGGCACGGCCACCCAGTTCGAGCACGTACTCAAGCTTTACCCACTGGCGCTGAGCCTCAAGGCCCAAAAACACAAATCCAAGAAACCCGAGGAGCTCATCAAACTCGACAACTGGTGAGTATATTTATTAACACCCACACTAATATATGTGTATACATGTATGTGTACGAAAAACTATGTGTATTATATACTGTCTGGCGACGACGGCGCGCTCGTTCCATCGCCTCGCCATTGCGCGATACTGCGGCCGCGCGTCGCTTGCGCCCATACGCGCACACACTTGCCGTCGATTTTTCCCTCGTACACCCGGTAACGATCAATCTGCTGTTTTTTTTTTCTTTTTTTTGAAATTTCGCGCGCGCCTCCGAGGGGGAGGGAGGGATTTTGGAACAACCATACCGCGAGGGTGTTCGGAGAGGCGCCAGCGGGACGTAGACGCGCTCGCGGGCGGACAATGAACTCCAAAGGCTGACGATCGCCAATCGCGTGACGATTGTACACGCACATATCAACAAGGGGGATGATGATGATGATATCGACTTGGTTTGTTTTTTTAATGGTTAAAGGGGGTTGGTTGTTGCTTGTGTTTTTCGAGGGAGTCGGCCGCTCGGGGCTTCTTCCGAGCATGGTGGGGGTTTCCTGCCTGCGCCGCTCGTCTGTGTGTGATGCTGGTGCCTCGTTCGATCCGAAGAAGCAGAGAGAGAAAGGGAAATTTTTTTTTGTACCTTATTGTTTATAAGTAATCGATTGCTTTTTTTATTTTTATTCGTCTTTGTTTCGGGGAAATTAACGTTAATCGAGAGGGAGATGCGGGAAGTATACTTGCACGCGTGGAGTTTTCGGGAAGCGACGGCAGACGACTGGCGGAGTTGTTTCCCTTTGGATGTGTAAAAATTGTTCATATTGTTTGATATTTTTTCCAATGTTCGTGTTTCATTTGGCGCCTCGACGAATTTTCTGTGACGAGAGCGCCTTTTGAAACTTGTTTTTTCTTTTCTGCCGCGTTAACAAACAAAATAAACATCATTCTACGGAAATGTGAAAATTCAGCTTTTGAGGTGTATTCCGACTCATCTATACTAGTACTTGAGTGATGAGCGTGACTTTCGGAATCTAGCCCACGTCTCTGAGTTGGCAATCCGACTTGACTCATTTTGGTGCAACTACTTAAACACCCACCTAACCTTTCGAAAACGCACCATTACTCAGTCACGTGTATAAGAAATTATCTACTCACGTACAAGTTGGGTAAATTTACCGAGTATTTCCGCCTGCTCTGTCCAAATTATTTTCCAGAAAGAAAACCTAAAATCGATGATTTCGCTGTTAAAAGTTGGTACGAAATTTTCATGACGTAAAGCGAGGTAGAAACGTGCAATTCGAACAAAATAAATGATTCCGTTGGTCCTAGTTGACAAACGAGTGCATTAATTGACCCATACTCGTAATCAGCGAAAACGTGATCAATTATTTAAGCATCAATTTCAAATCAGCTCGATTCGCGATGCGTCATTATTTATTTCCGAAAATCAACGCGATACGACAAGACGATAACACAACGACGACCGTAACATTGACCCGACCCCCCCCCCCCCCATAGCATTTATACACCCCCACCTACCGACGCAATAAGTGAAAATAAAATTCCTCGGCATGGCAAACTAGCACGTGCTCTTTTACAATTTATTGAAAATCCCTCGTGTATTGGTGAGTACAGAGAGCACAGTATAAATTCCTTATCGGAAAGAAAAGATGTAGAGGGAGGGAGAGTAAAAAAGTTAAACGGCTGCGCTAATTGAAAATACAATCTATATGACATTTTAATTTTTTTCCGATTTGACAGATAATAGATAAGGCGTGAAAACAAAGCGCGTTTTTTTTTCGTTGAGCTAAATTTAGACATTTTCCGTGTCTATATACAATCGCAAGCGCCTCATTAGGCGTGTCACAGCACATTGTGTTCCCACCAACACGTATATATACACAAACGATAAAAAAAAAAAAAAAGTGTAATTATCTCACTTTCGATCGCGACAGGAAATGTATAAGTATAAAAACCGATGCTTCTCCTCTTCCGTATACTTAATATACACACACGCGTCACCTCCACGAAGCAAGGACCGGCCGGTTGTTGCACCGGCGGAATATAGTGGTGCACGCTGATGTTACTCCGGATACATATACATGCATGCATGCACGTAGGTATATACGATATATACCGTTGTTTTCATTCCCTATTCCGGCAACTTGTGTGTCAAGGTTGCTTAGGAGCGATCTCTCTCTCTCTCCCGTTGTTGTCTCGCACCTGCGACGCGCTCAACTCACCCGCGCGCGCGATTTCGCATCCATCTCTCTCTCTCTCTCTCTCTTGGTTGGTTTTGTTTTGCTCACTTTCTTCGTCGTCGCTGTATTCGTTTTACCGAACGAAGGTGATTGACTTTTTTATCTCTTCCTTCTTTTTTTTTTTTTTCTTTTCTTTCTCTCCCTCTTCTCAAGATGTAAGCATGCACGGCTATGCGTGTACAAAGTGTCTGAGCCCTTGGGTTGAAAGGGGGTGGTTTTCTTTTTTTGCTCGTGGAATTTTATGATAATTTTTTTGCGTCAATGTTTGTGTTTTAGGTATCAAAATGAGCTTCCAAAGAAAATCAAAGCCCGAGGCAAGGACGCTCACTTGAACCACGAGGAATTGGTGCAGACGATGAAGTGGAAGCAAATCGTGAGTAACTTTTTTTTGTCCCCCTCTTTGTACAGCCAAAAGACTAAGTTTTAAATAGTGGTCACCTACTTTTTTTTTTTTTTTTTTTTTTTTCTTCATCGTAACGTCAAATGTCATTGAACGCGTTATCTCTTGGACATTTATTATTACGTTGAGATTAGACAATCAGTGATGGCCAACTGTGTAAAAAAAAAAAAAAACCGAGGTATTTTTAACGAACGCAAGATCGGTGTGTTTTCTTCTCTTGCAGCGCGGCAAGTTTTACCCGCAGCTGTCGTACCTGATCAAGGTGAACACCCCGCGTGCGGTGATGGCCGAGACTAAAAAGGCATTCAAGAAGCTGCCGAACCTGGAACAGGCCATCACTGCCCTGTCGAACCTCAAAGGTGTCGGCACGACAATGGCCTCAGCGCTGCTCGCGGCAGCCTCGCCCGAGAATGCACCCTTCATGGCCGACGAGTGTCTCATGGCCATACCCGAGATCGAGGGAATTGACTACACGACCAAGGAGTACCTCAACTTTGTCCAGCACATCCAGAACACCGTTCAGAGGCTCAACAAACAAAGTGAGCGTTTTTACCTATTTTTTTTTTTTTTTTTTTTTTTCTTACCAATGATTATCAAATGTGTGCTCATTTGGTGGTGGTGTTCTTGCAGATACAAATGGCACAACCTGGAGTCCGCACCGAGTGGAGCTTGCCTTGTGGACGCACTACGTGGCCTCAGATCTGAAGCCCGAGCTGTTGGACGGTATACCAGACGCGAACAGCACACAGAACGGTAACTCGCACCCGACCAACGGTGACGCAGCAGCGACCTCGGATGACAGTAACCAGGAGCTCGCCACGTCCACCACGACGACGACGACGGAGGTGGGAGAAACAATTCCGGCGACAACTGCGGTCTCGAACGGCAAGACGCCGGCGACGATTGTGCCAAGCGAGTCTGTGGTTCTCGACGAGAACAGCACCACGACTTCCTTTACCGAGGACTCACTCGACAAGCCCGCCACGCCGAGCAGTGCCGCCAACGCTGTGGTTACAACTGGCATTCAGAACGAGGACACGAATGACTCGCTACCCACGAATGACGACAGCAGCAACAACGAGGCTACCCCCAGGCCGACGGATGAGAGTGAGGCTGGCACCGAGGAGGACTCGTCCCAGGACTCGGTCAACGAGCCACCCACGAAGAAGAGCAAGAAGTGACCTGGTAGCACTGCCTTTATCCAGCCGCTCGCAGCCGCGACCGCCTCACTCGCCGAAGATTACAACAATTATTAATTGATGAACATGTCGCTCTTTAACATACAGAAGCGAGAAAGAGAGAGAGAGCTTCGAAAAGTCGCATACGTACTTGAGAGTTTTTTTCAAGACGACGCTTTTTCATTGCGGACGTACCAAGAGATTAAAGAGTACTATGGATTAATGTGGTGGTGGCCGTTATCGAGAGACTGGAAATGGATTGGATCGAATTACTGTTGACAGTGCATCCGTACAGTGATCCGTTTACAGCTCGAAGATTCGGAGGAATTACAACCATGGAGTATCGGCAGTGGAAATTGTATGAAAATAAGAAATCTTTGCTTTTCATGTGTATAAATCAGGTCTCTTTTTGATCAATCATTTTTTTTTTTTTTTCTATTATTTTTAATAATACACTTTTCAAAGTAGAATCGTCTGCGTGATTTACATTTTAGACTCTCACCTCGGTGGCTCTCCCTTTTTTAGTGATGATTTGTGAGTCATTTAATTTTTCAATTTTTTTTAAATCGTTTTTTGGTGACTTGAAGCTTCTAACGATAACAAAAGCCTTGTTACCCCCACAAAAGAAACGAACACTTGGTCGTACACTGCAGGAAAAGCAAGGATCCGCGGATTATTTTGTTGTCTCTCGAGAGTTCGGCGACGAGGGCGGTGGCGCTAATAATATTAATTAATATGAAAAAAAAAAAAAAAAAAAATTAAATTATAGTTGCGATAATATTAACTATTACCGAATCATTACCATAATTTATATACCTAAACAAATGAGAGTGTGAACGAGTGTTGAAAGGAAGATCGAGAGTTCAAGTGAGCGAATGGCGTAAGCGAGAAGAGGATAAAACAAAAAGGCGCAAAATGATGGGGGAAAAAAAAATTCACGTTGCTGGTCGGAGAGTGTATTGCAAACCAAATACCTTGTAATAAACGGATCTTAGATGCAGAAGCAAATGTGGATTATTAAAAATTAATGTCGCGATAGTACACCCATTGGTCTGTTGGAAAAAAAAAAAAAAAAAAAAAAAAAAAAAAAAAAAAAAAGTAAATGCACAGTCATGGTAATACATACTACACACATCTGGAATAAAAATACTTCTGTACAGGGATTTAACTAGTATTTTTGCACAATAACCCAAACAAGCGTGACGACGAAGCAAGTTAAAAGAAAAAAAACGTAGTGCGTAAAATATAATGATGAAACGATATGTAAAAGTTCTGTAGCGGATCAAGCGAAATCAAGTAAAAAACGAAATGAAGTAAAATAAAATGATGTGTACCGAGCGAATGAGATGTATACTGGAGAAAAAAAGGGGGTCGAGAGCGCGTAACTGCTCGACCACTTTCTCGTGAGCGTTCATTCAAATTTTATAAATATACATACCTATATATTATATATATTTGTAATTTAGTGAATAAACACGGATACGAAAAAAAAATAATAATAAATAAAAATAATACACACGAGACATGAGAAACAAAAACACATGATGACGAAAAAGGGAGAATAAAGAGTAATCGCTTTCAGCTGCACAGGACACAGATACCCACTTGTAATATGCGTGCAAAACAAGATTTTAAACAATGAACACAATAAAGTATATACCAACTATCGTGGGCTCCAAGGCCCTTACGGATGGAAAGAAGTTAGTACGTGATTATCATTATTTTCTCCTTCTAATGATTATTCATAATTTATTTTTACGAGCGAGAACGAGTTTTGTACATCCCTTCTCGTTTACAATTACTAGTTTCTTCGTAATTTTTATTTTATTTTTGTTTTCTATCATAAATCTACAAGCGTTCAATGTATACGTCAGAATTGATAATAAAAAGGTTGATATATATACAGACACAGGCTACTTTGTGAGAAAATTGGAGAAAAAATCGAATTTTTAGTTATTAATTTTTCTCCTCTCCTCTGATCCCTTCACCTCATTCCAATGACGTAATATCGCATTATTCTCTCCTTTTGTTAATTAACTTTTCAGTTCTCGTACGTGTGTGCAAAAACATTCCATTCTCTGCGAATAAAGTATATTCCCCTCCCCCTTTTTTTCTAATTATCGTTGATTTACGTTACTCATTACCCGAAAATCCACCCCGTACATTATAGACATGTAAAAAATGCGCTTGAAAGGGACGCAAAGTAGTGAAGTGAAACTTTGAATATATAAATATACGACTGCGCGCGACACGAAAGAAAAATGGTGGATAAAACTTTACCTTTTTTTTTTTATACATCAATTCAATCGTATGTGATCAAACCCATTGATATGGGAGCGATGTCAACTCGCCCTCTCACGACATACTACAATAATACCAATGTGGTGTTTTCGCATGTAGTGCATTATACATTAGAGAGAGAAAAAAAGATGCCGCCTCCATTCAGTCTCTTTAATTCGCTCATCCAAGTAAACTTTCGGCACGGATGCTTCAACTATTGACCTTAAATAAATATAAAAAAAAAAAATCCTTTTTGTTTCACAAAATTTGTTACGATAATCCTTTTTCTCGTTCATAAATGTACGCTGCATTACAATACAATACAAAATGCAAATTTTTTTGTGTGGACTTTGATGACCGTATTTCGAGCACTGCCACCCAAGATACATAAGCAAAGAGAAAAAAAAAATTGTAATTCAAAAAAGCAAATAAAACAGGTGATGCCTCAGTGTAATGTTTGTCGAGCATTTATTTTCAGAAAGTGCCATTTTTCAGTTTGAACCACCAGTTATTGGTCCCTCGAGAATAATGAAAAAAAATAAATAAATAAAAATAGTTAAAAACGTTAGACCGAAAGACTTCTGCATTAAATAAACTGTACCTTAAAACAGCATGCCTAGGATACGAAATAAAAGCGAAAAAAATGAACAAAAAAAAAATTTATATACATACTCGTACTTAGCGCTGATTATTATAAATAAATTTAGGTACTTCACTTATGGCCTTAAAGAGATACATAAAAAAAAAAAAGAAAAGAAAAAAAAAACGAAAAAAGAACATATAGTGACAGCAAAAAAAAAAAAAAAAAAAAAAAAAAAAAAAAAAAAAAAAAAAAAAAAAAAAANTCGTCGATCGAAAAAAAAAAAAAAAAAAAAAAAAAAGCGAAAGAGCGCGTGAACGCAGAAAAAGAGTGTGTGCGGCGACTTATATGATTTTTCACTTTTCGCCGATTAACATATTACGTAGTTGGTCCATTTTTAATTATGTGCTATAAAGAAGACACTAAAAATTTAGAAATAAATTAGGTAAGAAAAAAAAAAAACAATTTACAATAAGCTACGGTATAGTAGAGCGATGAATTTGTGTGCTAAGTAAGAAAAAAAAAAGAGAAACCGACTTGCAACGTATATGTTATGTTTAAAAAAGATAGAAACGAAGGAGGCAGATATGTACACTGATTAATAACGTTAAACGATCGATAAAAGAGCGTGTGAACTGAAAATAAAGGTTTATTGGTAGTGCTGGACGTGAATTCTGAGGAGTATAGGTATACAATTGACAAGAGAAAAATAGACACTGGCAGCGAAAAATAAAAAAAAAATATATATATATACATGTAAAGGATGCGATGTAGAGCGCTTTTTCGGTGTGAAAACGAGAGCAGAGAAAACCAAAAAAAAGTGAAGAGTTTGAGGATGAGGATGCAAAAGACTTTTTTTCCGATCGTCGCCTGATCTCGCGCGTTTGATTATTTAGGCACGATTGTAATTATGTACCAGAGTGAACATTATTACTGTAGTGAGCCGATTATTTAAAAATAAATAAGAAACAACATATTACGCGTTGTCTGTCTTTTTATTTCCCAGATGCAAAACACCACCTTTTAATACCACGAATGCCCCGTTTTCCTCCAGACGCGATAAAAATCGCCGCCACGTTCCATTCGCAATCATTATCCGAAAAACTGGTCATTTTCTCAAGCTCTTGGCTGAAAGTTTTCGAAAGCACCACCTATACACACACACACATGCGTATGTCGTGTAAAAAGCAAGTATACGTTGTTCACCGCTACAGCAGCGCGCCTCGAAGTGAAAGTCTTCTCCGGGGCTTTCTCTCCGCGAATTAATTTCACCCCGGCTTCCTTTTGGCCGTCGTTCTTCTGCTTCGAAATGGCCAAAAAGTTTGGCAATTCCTTCGAAAGCGCACGGGGTTCCAACGCAAGCTTTCTTTTATTTTCATGTTGCGCTTACTTACGCTTTTGTTTTCAATTTTCTACCATAGAAGTACACAAAAGGTATGCGAGATGTATACTTTCGAGAAAAAAAGGGGAATCCCAAAAAAACCAAGACTCAGCGGAACGAGCAGTAAAAGCTCCAAAGACCTCAACGTAAAAAAAAAAAAAAACAGATTTACTTGCGCACGGGGTTGCAACGCATTTCTTTTATTTTCATGCTGCACTTACACTTTTGTTTTCAATTTCCACTATAGAAGCATACACATGGTATGCGAGATGTATACTTTCGAGAAAAAGGGGGAATCCCAAAAAAACCAAGACTCAACGGAACGCGGAACGAGTACTAAAAGCTCCAAAGACCTCAACGTAAAAAAAAAACAGATTTACTAACACGCTCAAGTAGGTGTATGTGAAAAAAAAGCATATATATATATACACCCCCTCCGACTTGGACTCTCCGCTGTTGCTGCACAATGTAAAACAGGTCACACACCAACTTTGACTCACACACATGTGGGGCGCGCATATAGGGCAAATAAAACGTCAAGCACGTGTATACATATATATACAACCAGCAGAAGCACGGCTGACTGACCTACTAACCCAGAGAGAGAAACGACGACGACGAGGACGACCTTCGATGCAAACCCAAACACGCGCACAGTACACATATCAGGGGCACCCACACACACAATCGCCCCTCTCTCTCTCAAAGTACCTACTTTACGCACCGACTGCTGTACATATACAGGGAAAACAAGTGGTGTGGTTACTGGTTATCCCCGAAGTCCGTGTATACATGTACAAGCGTTTATGTAGACAGAGCGTAGACGACAAAGAGAGTGAGAGTGAGAGAGAGAGAGAGAGATAGATATAGATAAAGCTCGCCGATCGAGGGGGGCATCCCCCTCGTGTTCGTTGTGTGGAGTAGACGGAAGGAGGAGGAGGAGGAGGAAGGCAGCAGGTGAAATATATACACGACTCTTCTCTCTCTCTCTCTCTCTCTTTTACACACACACAAACACTGATGGAATTTTGTATACGTGTATATCTACTTTTCTCTAGTGTTTGCGTGATGGTTTTGCTTATACATTCAAGTGCAAGAGAGAAGCAAGAAAGGGACGGGGGGCAGGAGGAGGAGGTCGAGGCACTGACATTTTAATGTGTAAGTGCCGGCGAGGGGTTGAATGAGCAGAGAGAGAGAGAGAGCTTGCAATACGTGTATGATTCCATCAGAGTGTGTGGGTATACATATATATATGTACTAGGTGGTAGGAGGGGGTAAATGACTTGTAATCGTGGTGTCCGACAGAATATAGGTACGAGTAACTGACATTGCTAGTGGTTAACGCGTGCCTTGGCATGGAACGGTAAGAGCTTTAAAATGGATTTGCAAACAAAATCTCGGGCTTTGACAAGCCGCGGTTAAAACACACGCGCTTTTGCAATCAAAACAAAAGCTACTCCTTCGGCATTAAACAATAAGTATGTTTATATCATGTGTACACTGGCGCATTCGCGGTCGCTGAACTCGATTCTCATATAAATAGTATGCATACTTGGACGTATACAAGTATTAAAAATAAAACAGGACAAACATTAAGTATACACCCAACACATTTGTATACGATTGGGGAAGGGGGGTTGTAAGTACAAAAATCATCTCTAACGGGTAACGAAAGCGAAACCACCCGAGAGATACATAAAACCGAGCATAAAACTTAGATGAAGGGACGTGCAAACAGGCAAAGTAAAAAAGAAAAAAAAAAAATTGTATACTAAGCACTCGTTAGGATGGGTGTATCGGCTATTACGTCAATGCACGCGAGGAATTCCGGGTGGTAAAGAAATGCAAAAAAAAGGTGGGGGGTGAGTGAAAGAACAAAACGGTGCGCTCTCGCGAAATCCCGGGGATTCCCCGGAAGTGTGTGTATGTAGGTATTGCCTTTCACCGGCCGGGGGAGGAAAAGCGTTCGGAGTCT